GACTCGCTCGTCGGACACGCGTCGCACTCGACGGATCGAAACCGCCCCGTTCTCCGGCATTCCGACACGGCGTCTAAAATCCGCATCCACCCCGAAAGCCCGGCGAAGTGCACTTTTCCCACGCATTCTCCGCTCGAAACGCGGAAACAATGGCTCGTATTATCTCTAATTGGCCTGGCGAACCGTTCGACGTAGAAATGATTTACGAACGCGGGCAATACAGCGAGCCAGGCAGTGATAAAGGGCAATTATTTGCCATACCAGGCGTCGCAGCGGCGGCGCGTACTCGCTAGTGAGCCGGCTGTAATTGGAGAAATGCGAACTCTTCTGCTCTCGTTATCGTGGTATATGAACGACTTAATGGATGACGGCGTATGAGATCGGTCAGGAACGATCGGCCATGATTTTTTTCCACTCTCTCTCTCTCTCTCTCTTCTTTCTTCCTTTCTCACGAGAGAAAGAAGATGAGCGGTACACGCGGAAAGAGAGAAAGAGAAAGAGAAATCGGTTGTCGTGCATGTGTCGTAAACGCCGCGAAGCTTATTTATGCGTTAGAATCGAGCGAGCGACGCTGGAACGCGGTTATTAGACAAATGTTAAGCGATATACGCTGATTAATGTCGCGAACCAGGCAGGTCGCAATGGGTGGCGGCGAGGAATCTTAATTGGATTTGTGCGTTTCGCGCCCGTTTATTTTTTTTTATACTCGATTATACGATTCCCGCGTTCAGATTGCTTTCCTCGCGTGAATTCCAACCGCGTGAAATCTCTGTTCCGTTTTGTCATATTTGCGTACGCGTCGTGCATTTCACGGCGCGATCGGCTCGCTGGCTGTTGGCCAGTTTCGCTATTGTTTATGCTCGTTTCTTCGAAAGGGGATCAAGGACCGTGATAATTCGATTCCATCCTCCAATTCAGGAGGAGGGGAACGTTCCCACGAGCGCGAGGCCGACACGCACGTTACGAGGCGATGTCTCGTGCCTCGAATCCACGGAATCCACTGTGTCACGAAGCTCCCTTTGCACGAACAAGAAATCCGCTGTGCACGGCGAGCGAAGAAACTCGGGTGCATTCCACGCTATCGTTCCACTCGCATCCACTTGCTCCTCTCGATGAACCGCTTTTCCCACGATCTGTATCTGCTCAATCTTTATTTATTACCTCCTCTCTTTGTTTTCTCAGATCAACAGATATAAGATTTGTAAAACAGCAGTAACAAAGGAACGTTATTGGTACAAATCGGGAGACCAGAATCCGAACATCGAAAATAATTAGAAAGAGTGAAATTTCAATCAAATTATTTCAATCTCGATGGAAGATATCTATTTTTCGAGACGCGACACACATCATTACTCGGAAACACAAAAGTTTACCGCCACTCAAATTCATCTACGTGAGGATACGTAAATCTTTCATAACATCAGACAATCGTGATAACGTGACTCTACATCTTCAAACTTTTTCTCTCCCCTTTCTTCTTAAAATTAAATTATATTCTTCGAAAAAAAAAAAAAGACAAAACGTTCCAAGCATCTTTATTATCCAAGAATCGAGGCTCTGTCCGGTTCCAGTTCAACGTGCGACAAACACGATGCGCACGAACGTATTACCTAATTCAATCCACGCGCCCCGCTCGTCATAGCATTCCATTTGGCGTGGATCGCAACAGTGTTACTCGTAACGCAGGCGAGAAGCGACGAATTGCTCGTAATGCGTGGCCACGCCGACGTGGTCACGATAGGGTCATTGCACCGTGAAACGTTTCCAATTCGCGCGTATCAGCGGAGCGCCGTGTCCGGTTGGATAAAAGCGGCACCGCTCGTCGCTTCAAAGGTAAAAGCTTTTCGATTAGGCCGGGGCGCACCGTTTCAAGTCCACGCGCAAGAAACGCCCTTGCCAATCCTCCCATTTACATCGAGATAACTAGTGCTTAGAACACGCGGGAAATCGGGTCTCCCCCCCTCCCGATTGGAAACCTCCGTTCGATTTTCGAATCGGTTAATGAGATCCGATTTAACGCGGGCTTCTTCTCGCGCCAAGTTTCCAAGTGATCGTATCCGACTTAGGCACGAATTCCTCGAATACGATGATAGGTTCTCTCGTTCCGTGTCGAGAATTTTTCTCAAACGTTTCGCCTCACGGAAGATTAGAGAACCGGTATGTCGGTTATACAAATTGCCGCTCGGTTGGCTTGCGCTTTGAAACTGAACATTACGCATGAGAGATACGGATCGATTATATCTTAGGTTTCGTTATTAATGTAACAGTGCAATTTAAATAATTTATTCGACCATCGTGCTCATGCCCCTACTCGATTCGAATAAAATTCGATATTTCTTATCCGTTATACCTTTTACAACATCTCTCGTTCTAAATTATCTATTTTTCCGGTTAATAACACGATTCCAATTAAATTAATCGAAACGAATTTTATTCGTTTTAAAATTCTTTCTTTCGGGAGCTGGGAATTTTTACGCGTTTCTCTATTATTTTACTCGAACAATACAAATTAATTCTTCGTTTGCATTCCAGATATTCTTTGCGTTACGGAAAGAATAACTCGCGAAAATAAATTTACACGCATAGTTGGAACAATTCTAGTTCCAAGTAATGCGAGAAGCCGACCAACGATCGATCGCGATCGAGAGAATAGCTCCTCTCTCCTCTCGGTCTCCGATTAACTTAACCACGGCCCAAGACGAATGTACACGCGTATCCAACAAACACCTGAGGGGAGTCGTTGAATTATTTCGCGTAATTGATTCCGACGCGTTCAATTTCAACGTGTCGCCGCCCCGGCATCGGCATCGAAACCGGTCTTAATTGACACGAAGCTTCCGCGGTCGGCTAATTGAAAATGCTAACGTCGTTGTTTCCATTCCATCCCGCGGACCTGTTATCGATTCGTCGCCGCCGGATGATAGAGAGCGCGAAACACCGCTTCTCTTCCGCCCCGCTCGCGATGATTGATGAGCTCAACTGGTGTTCCATAGTTTATCGCTCTATCCATCTCCTGCCCCCGCGTGTGCCGCGATAGATCGGGACAAAGTAGAATGGCTGAATTATTCCCTTCCCTTCGTCCAAAGGCGCTCCGTTTAATGGGCTTCTGCGAAGGAGATTTTAGGCTTCCGGTTAACGTTGGCCATCTTCCAACCGACAACTTCATCCGTCTGGTGAACCGACGGATTTTCGGGGAGAGATCAGCTTTGGCCGCGTGTAAAACTGCTAATTCCGTTTCTGTTACGTTGCTGCCACGAATCGATCGAGATATACTTTTTTCTTTCGTCCAATTGTTTCGAAACTTTTCTCGAAAATAAAATTCGTCGCTCGTTGTTTCGGTGGTTTCAGTGGGAGGGATAGATCGATTTAAACGAATCGAGAAAACTTAATTTTTTTGAAAAGATACTGAATTATTTTACCATTTTATTCGACCATTTATTCTCTATATTTCTCAAAATATAACTTTTAAACGAGATTAGAAAATCCTATATACTTTATATCAATTATAACTAAGGAAGATTTTTCCAGTATCTCGAAAGGAGAGAGGGAGAAAGAGAGGGAGAAAAAAGACACTATCATTTGTAGGAGTTATCGTTTCATCTCGTGCTAATCTCGAACGAGATTCAAGATGGGCACGTTCATTAACGAATTTCCAATTCGTCGCGGCGATCTCACCACCGATCTTGCCAGCGTCGAAGCGTTGGCAAACGGTCTCTCGACGGTCCATTCATCCGCAATCTTGGTACGTTCGCGGTGAATATCATTAAGCCGCGCACCATTCATCGCGATCCTCCATCTTCTCATCGCTTCGATTCCATTCCTCTCCTCGAGAGAGAGAACGTGCGCCTGTACGTCTTCATAGACCGGTCGGCCGTTGCCACGCTCTTCTGCCCGGACGCACGTACGATCGCCTCTCCTTCTGGCTTCCGTGAATGCGCCCTCGCCGCTGCAGGTATTCGAGATAACAGACAAGCCCGCCGAACTCGTACGTGGACGTTCTATCTTCACGGGTGACCGATCCGGGTGCTCGGTATAAGTAGCTTATTCTCCCCCGTTTAAGAGACTTAAGAGCCCGAGTCTTGCGCGAGTTTTTACCCGAGAAATACGCGACTCCACAACGACACCGTCGTTGGAAAAGGCATTAACCTGTTAACACATTGCGTACGAGTTGTATATAGCAAACTTTGCGCCCGGGCTACGAGATATCTCGTTTTAATAAATATCGTTTTGATATAATATAATTTGTTAATATGTCTCGTTTTCTCGATTCGATCCACGATTCAAGGAATTAAAAACACTCAAAAAAGAAATAATAATAGGAAAAGGCAAGAAGAAATTTTCGATCGAATGGAAAAAGGAAACCAGATATAATTGCAAATTACGCCGAATATCATTGCATAAAGGAAAATATATATAATACTATATATAACAATATATAATATATAATATATATATAATAATATATAATTCTCTGATGCATTATTTAATTTTTGAAATTTTGAAATATAATAATATATATAATATATATTATATATAATATGTAATACTCTGAAGCATTATTTAATTTTTGAAATAAATAATAAAATATAAAAAATTAAAATTAAATATTAAATATTAAAATATAAAAAAGCCATAATAAATATATGTATAAAAAATATATAATAATTAATAATATTTTATAAATGTGAATTAAAAAATGCATGATATATGTTTTTATTTAGCGCGCTCAAAAATGTGGGGGGGGCCCCGAAAGCGTACGCAATGTGTTAACCGACCGCCTTCTACGATTAGAGAGAGATATCTGAATAATATCTCGTTCGACGAGTCGTGTTTTCCTCCGTACAAAAGAGGCGGGGCAACGCGCTCGATAGAATTGTAAATATTATAGTTTTCGAAAGTCACGGTCGAAGGAATATACGTATCGGCACGATAATATGTTTTTATTTCGATTCAGTTGCGACGAAATTCGGAGAGCGGAAAGAGCGGTCGGAGCGCGAGCACGGCGAACGGTATCCGGGTCACGGTTACAGCCGCGTAATTCGCGTGTGGAGTGGAAGAACGAGATCGCCGGATACGGGACAAAAGCGTGGAGAGTAGTGAGAAAACATTAAAAAAGTTCCAAGCTAGTAGTAGAGACGCGTCGTACAAATTGCCTCTGGTTGAATTCCCTTTTCTTTCCTTTCTTCCCTCCCCCATCCTCCTTCTGACGAACTCTCAGTCAACTCGTTTCCTTGAGAAAGCAAAACTGGGATACCCGGTTGTGAGCTTTCTGCAAGCTTGACGCTCTCTCGAGTCACAATCCTTGGGATTGGTCGAGGGAGGGATTTGCTTTAGCCGACATCGGTGCAAAGTATAGGGAGACGATCGAGTATCGGCAAATATTTGACGCCATCAGGAAATCGTGTGTGTTTGTGTTTGTAGAAGAAAGAGAGAACTTTTCTTTTCTCTCTCTGCTCTCGCGTTTGATTTTTCGGTCACGTTCACACGCGTGTAAATCGTGTAATTCTTGTACCAACGAAATTCGGAATAGTTATAAGCTCGGCTTCGAATCGAACGAGATTCCAAAAGATTTATTTTCGCGCCTCGAAAAAACGAGTCCAAATTCTCGAGAGTTTAGAGTTTTAGATCGGTTTTACCGAGTGTTTTAATTCCGTAATAAAGCGTAATAAAGCATCCGAACCGGAATATCCGATCAATGCCAAGAATCTTGTAACGCGAGGAGCGAGAGATTCGTTTCGCGGCGAGAGCCAATTTCCAGCATTAATTACACGGAAATGCGATTTCATCGACGATTCTCGTGCGGAGAGCTCTCTCTCTCTCTCTCTCTCTCTTCAGTCCGGAATAATTACGCGCTATTACGCCAGTTCGATTTTGCATCGTCCACCATGAACGTTATTACCGTTTAACAAGTATGAACATCGATTAATATAGCACGAGGAAAGTTGTGCTCGAACAGTTTCACCGTGTGTGCCATAGAAGGGGTCCCGAAGGGATAATGACAGAGCCACCGCAAAGTAATTTCACGGTGGAAAGATTTAGAGGCATTAGCCGCCGAGAGCCTATCGCGACGACGACGATACACGGAAAATAAGACAACAACGCGATCTTCGATGAACCGACGAACGCCTCTCGGTTCCCTGTCTACTCTTTGTTCCCTTCCTACGGAAGAAACAGTCTGGACAGGTTTTACGGCGGCTTAAACGTTCAACTTCGAAATCGAACCGCGCCCCTTTACCTTCTTTATCGAAACTTCTCCTGGATACGTCTCGCTTATTCCCATCTTATCGTTTCCACCGTCTTGAACGGTTTCTGAGGTGACGTCGAAACACAGTCTGGGAACGTGAACACCTGTTTTCCCTTTTGCCATTCTTCTCTTTCCTTTGCAACAACGCTTAATCCGACGGAATCCCTATGGAAATTTCTAGATGGAAATTAATAGGTGTGGATTTGGTGGACGAAAATTGAGAATTCTGAAATCTGTTTCTGCCTCCTCGAAAGAGCCCCATCGAGACGATTCTTAATATTCGAGTGTCGAGGAGGATTTGTTGAAAGGAGAAAAAGGGACCGCCTATTAATATTGATGAGATTTGGTTTTTGTTAAAACGGCCAATTATTCATTCGGAATGGTAAAATCGTTAATCGATGTGGCCGAAAATGTGAAAGCAATCGATAAGCAAAGATTCCAAGCTAGATTCTCTCGATCAAAGGAATCCTCTCTCCTTTTGATTATGCATGAGGTATTTTTAAATTTATTTTGCGCAATTTATGATATATTTGGCAAGTGTCGTCGGGTATTTTAATCCGAGGATTAAAGACCTACGGAAGAATGATCGAAGATTCGAGTAGAAATTTCAATAAACGAAAACTCGACGTACACAGACATTCCACAAGAGTTTGATATTTCTACGAATCTTTTCGAGGGGGGGAAAAAAAAGTTTATCAACATCACTTTTCGTTTGTAAGAACAACATTGAAAAATAAGTTTCGATAAACGTCCGACTTCTCTGAATTTTCCAAACTACTACGACGAAATAATCATTGGGAAAGAAGGAAACAAAATTATGATCTTATCGAGATATCGATACATCCCGTCTTAATTATAATCTATCATAATTACGCGAGACGACACGAGATCGAAAAGCGATCTCATTTATTACTTGAATATCGACGAAAGGAATCCTCGACTTATGACAGATTAACTTACGTTTCAACGACGATAAGAAAACGAGCGTGTCGGAACACGGATCGCAATTAGTCAGTGGACGATCGTTTAAAAGAAAAATGTCGCACAACTACGCAAAAAACGTAGACTTATTCGCCGTATCTCGAGCATGTAATTTCAGGTTAATGAATTTAATTGGCTTGGACCGGATCAAAACTGGAAACCGGCTAAATATTATGATTGACCGTGCAACCTGTTATTATACGAATTTTTCTTATATATTTTTTTTCCTCCGATTTGTGAAAACTCGTGTTGCGTGCTCGTTCGAAACTCCCTCCCACTTAAATCATTTAAAATCATTACTCGGAAATGTCGGAAATGTTTGTTGCCGCTTATCAATCCCCCGGATTTAGATATGAATTATTTAATACCGGATACTCGAGCGATGGCGACAACTTGCCGATTCATGAAAGGTAATTTACGCGTGGAGATATCCAAACGCCGAGAATTCGCCAATCATTCGCCAGAGGAATTTCCAAGTGTCTCAATTTCCTTTAATAATTACCGATATCATAACGTCGATTTTCTGGAAGAAAAAAAAAAAAAAAAGAAAAACAAAAATCGACCGATCTTGGAAATATTTCTTTACTCGAAGTCGAATCGAGACTATTATATTCGCCTATTTCTCTCTCGTATCACGAAAACGTTAAACGTTTCTCTTGGGAATCCCATATTCCCTGTTTTATGCGTCCCCGTGGCGTGAGAGATTGCGACCGCAGACCACTGCATTAACTAAAGTGCACCTTCCAAAATGAAGACCATGACTGAGGAAATATCGATGCATCGAATTAACCCGAGATAAGTCGCATTTTCCTTATCCATATCTCTTTTTTTTTAACCCTTTTCGTTCGATGCCAACAGCCTGACACGATCTCGAGAAAGAATCGAGCTATTAATCCACCTTGCGGCTCGGTTCAAGGATGAGACGGTTGCAACAGGGAGCAGAGCAGGGCAGGGCCGGTGCCGATTGTGCAACCTCTCCGATTGCATCCGTTGGTGCGGTCGAGCTTTTTTCTTTTCGGCACGAGTTGAAGAGAAACGACGGGTTGCGTAAGTTGTAAACGCGTTTGGCAGCGCGTTTGCTCGTTCGAGGAGAGAAACGGGACACAAGCGACGAAAATAAAATAACTACCTCGCCACGGATGAGGTTCTAAGGTAAGTTTCCTCGATACATGTGACTGGCGCCTGACTGCATCGTTAATAATAGCATAATAGTCTGACGGCCGAGCGGAGGAGAAGACGAGGGTATTAGCAATTAAAGTCAAACTCGTCGTCGTGTTCGCAGACGATCTTTCAATTATTCTTAGGCGAGGTGTATTCGAATCTCGTTTCTTCGTTTCTTTCGGAAAGAAAGAGAAGAAATTTTCAATTAATTATCGAATTATTAAATTATTCCGCGTCGTTTCTTCGCCAGCCAACGCGCACCGACGAGGGTGCAACCCTTTCTTTTTTCTTCTCTTTTCTTTCTTTTTTTTTTCTTTTTTTTTTTTTTTTTTTTTTTTTTTTTTTTTTTTTTCTTCGCTCGAGCGTAACGTTCAGTCAGTCACTTGCTCGATGCTCGGTGAACGCGAGCAGAAAGACTACAGACCTTCGCGACACGCACAAGTATATAGAAATTAAACGGGGCGGAATTGATTGGCGGAAAAAAATGTTGATAAAAAAATGGCTGTTTCACGGCATGTTAATTAGCGAAAAACGAAGGGAAAGATCGTGGAGGGGAGTGAGAGACACGGTGGCGAGAAATATTTATCTCGGTGACAGGCACGTGCGCCGCACGTTATCATGCCATATTGGATAATGTATCGGGGAGGAGAGAAAAGTAAAAAACACGGGGGATATACACGTCGATGTTGCGATTACGGGGCAACAAAAATTTCAGAAATTTATCGCGTTGTTATGCCACACGCGTTGCCTTCCTCCGTTTAGAATTTATATCTCTCGAATCACGGCGTTCGGAATTGAAACAATTGATAACGATGGAAAATCGTAACGTGGTGACAAATCACGCGTCTTATCTTTCTAACCGATTGTCTCGCTTTCTTCTCCATCGCCTTGTTAATAATAATTTCAATCAATCGTAATTTCCAAGTTAAAATTACCGCGATACGATTTAATTAAAATTCAAAAATTTTTCTCTATGTAATTCCTTCCGTTTCGAAGTTGGGAGAAAAAAAGAAAAATCGCGCGGGAATTTTTCTCGGCAGGCAAGCAAGATAGCAGAGCGAAACTCTGTCCGCGATGTTAGAAGTTAAAACGCAGCAACCTCGAATGCGTGGGTTGATAAAGCAGCCGCCAAGCAGTCTAGCATTCTCCCAGCCTCGTCCCTCCAAGAAATCTCGCCCCCTTCTTCCACCCTCGTGGTGGAAGACTCGTCTGCCTTGGCTGTCTGTCAACTTTGTCATTCACTGTTTCACCCCCGGTGAGCTTCACCCCTTGCGTGCACGCATGCGAGTAAACAGCCCCGCCGACACTTCCACCACCACCCTTTTCTCTCCTCGTTAATTACATGTCGCTAATTGTGCGTTATCCACTGCATCGAACCGCGACCTTTTCAGTTTTATTTTTTTCCCCTCCTCTTCGCGCTCTCCATTCTTCCGCCGAATGCGATCTCCAATGTATCCCCCTCAACCGCCTCGAGCGATCGAACGAACCTCTGACGATTTTTCTTTGGAACTTGGAGCGTCGACGAAACTTAACAGGAGAACAGCAGAAATTCGAGAATTAAAAAAGAGAGAGAGAGAGAGAGAGAGAGATCGGAAGAAAAATTTCTTCCAAGTTCTTTCTTTTTCGCGTAAATAAGGTAGAAGAAGGGAGTGGCGGTTGAATGGAGAACGAGCACTCCAGGAAATTACAGTCGGCGATAAAGTTGACGGATACTCTCGACGGATCCCTCCCCATTTTCGCCCGTTTCCTTCCATCACCGAAAAAAAAAAAAAAAAAAAAAAAAAAAGGAAGAAATTTCTGATTTATCTTGCCACGACGTTTAGTCGGTAGAAAGCCGCCGTCGGTTTTTTTTTTTTATCTCGGCTCCCTTCGCGAGCAGCTCCGGAACAGCTTTCATTCAAACTCCGGTTCGCGTCCTTCGTGCTTCGCGGTGCTCTCGCGATACCATCTCGATCTCTCGTCGCGCTCGAGAGACCGCGGGTGTGCCCCCTCCGGAGAGATCTTTCCCTCGAAATCTCTGCCCTCTTCGTCCCGAGAACAATAACTGGCCTGGTACTGGAGGTGGCGAGAAACCTTCGTTGTTTCTCATTTTCACGCTCCCCAAACACCCCCACCCTATCGGTTCACCCTTCATTTATTTTTTTCGACATCGCTGTGTATACACATCGCTTCTTTCGACCCGTACATATATACAAAGTCGTTAATATATATATATAATACTTTTGGAAGTTCGTTTTAAAAGTTGATGCAATGGAATTCCATTTATTCGAACGTTATTACTCTGATTCGAATAAATAGATATAAGATAATAAGGTACGACGCTACACGATTCGAAAGTCACGTATGAATTATTTTATACATTATTTTATTTTACTTATATGATAAATAAATCTCGACATTTTTGTACATACGTTTTGCTAATTGATGTAATAAAAAGAATAATCACTCTTTTAATCGTATGTATAGCATTAATGTTGCTCGACATACGATCAAAATCGAGTATGCAAATAAATTCGATACACGTGAACGAATGCAAATGTACGTACAAACGAATCACGCTGTGTTTTTCAACTTTGACAGCGTAAAATATATTTGAGAAACAAAAAAAAAAAAAAAATCAGAAAAATCCTCGTCACCTTAATATCTTATAATTTTCCTTTCGAGGAATAGCTCAAGATCGTCGAACCAGACGATCTAAAGCGTTACTAACTATCAATTCTTGGAACCGATATAAAATAACGATTATCGAGTCACGATCAAAACCATTCTTCCCTCTTTCTCTCTTCTCCCCTCGTTCGGTTCCAGCACCATCATTACATTAATAAATGCAAACGATCGAAGATCCGCGTGGCGAATGACGAATAATCGTTGCCTAGCCAGCTCGCGCCGCGAAACAAAACGCGCAATAAACAATTACGGGACGAGACGCGGAATTTGAACGCGGAAAAATAAACGAGCCTTTAACTTAGAGAGCGAGGAATCTCTCTCTCTCTCTCTCTCTCTCTCTTTCTCTCTCTCTGTATTTCGCATGAGACAGTTTAATTAATTAGTCGAGAAATCCGCGTGATTTCCAAGCGGATGCAGGAAACGGCCATCACAACTGCGTGCAGTGCGTGCCGCGCGCGCGTCGTAGATGTGGGACAGGAAGTTTCCGCTCTGTTCGAATTCGTCGAACGACTGTTGCTCGTATCTAGAATTCTCGCGGATGTAAGCCTTTACGTGATGGCCGTCACTTTGAATTTATGGTTGTGCGATACGATAAGTAAGGATATAAACGAGAAAAAAGATGATTCTAACGTTAAAAGTGTGCTATCGAGTAGTTGTAAAATATAGTTGACAGTGCAACGTTAAAAAGTGGCACTGTAATTTTCTCGTAGAGAGAGAGAGAGAAAGAGACTTTCGTGACCGCTTCCCTCTCTCTCTCTCTCTCTCTCTCTCTCTCTCTCTCTCTTTCTTTCTCGTATAAAATTTCTTTGGATTATTAAACCGCATCGATGATAATTCGCAGGTACGAGTGGACGTGTATAAATGATAGTAATTTCGTTCGAGACATCGAACAAATGTTGCCGAGCACTACGATCCGATAGAAGAAACAGCCTGTTTTAATTTTCCAACTTGTTACCTAACTTTTTACGACGGGACGACGAAATTCATCTTTTCCTCCCTCCGTGAAACACGCACGAAAATTAGTTGGCAGATAAGAACATATGGCGACCAGAAGAACATATCCACGGAAGTGTAAAAACTGCGAAGTGTTTGTGACACACATTTGAATTCCCTTTCACGAAAAAGCAGGGGGAGACGTGTACGACATATAGCATATCATAGGTGGTTGGTATCCTCGCCAGGAAAACAGCTTATTATTGAATTGAAAAACGAGGACGGTGTTAACGTCACCTTAACCGCCTTCATCGAAGATAAAAATGTTTTACGATCCAAGGAATCATTCTTTGCGCGGAGGGAGCTGTATCTATCAATTCTATCTCGTATACCCCCTCCTCCCGTAAAACGTGTTCTCCTTCTCCCGTCGATCCCTCTTCCTGTCGATTTCAGTTTTCCTTACAACTTCCATCGTTTCCAGTTTCAACGCAAAATGCCTCGAATGCGAGCCAACTACGCGTGATTTTGATACACTCGCAGAAACAGATAGATATTCAAACGTAGAAAACCAGTATTTCTACTATTGAGCGAGTGGAAAAAGATTGGACAGAAATTGGAATTCAATGGACGAAGGAATAGCGTACACCTCGTCGAACAAGATGTTGGACACGAGAGAAGGATAACAGTTAATTTCTTCGATTCTTTCGGATAGGTTTGCCATGATCGAGGGGTTAAAAAGAATCGATAAATCCGTTAAAAAGAAACGATAACCGCAACGTAATTTCTACTGCATCGACCGATCCACGGACTCGACGAGGGGTCATCTGGTGATGATCTCTCGCGTTCGAATCGGCTTTCGTCTCGAAGTTTCGCGGGCGGAGAACACGCAGATGCAACCAACCGTCCGATCCCAGGGTCGATGGACATCGACACTGCGTTGCGTAAAGTCGAAACGCGCGACTGCACGCCGCTGACACATTATCTGATTGCGCTGAATTCAGTCCGCGTTCGTTCCTACTACCACTAATACTAATACTACCACTGTTCTATCCAGGAAGTGACGTCAGAGATCGCATATCGAGCGCGGTACCTCGATCAGGATTTACGCGTTGCTCCATCCTATCTAGATTTTGGCCTCTCTTCGACTCGTTCGAGAAAAAATACGGGTGTCCTTGTTCGAGAGGGGGAAAAAAAAATTCCATTTTGAAAAAAATCACATTTTCAGTAGAACGAATTTATAAACGATTTTAATGAGAGGGGGAGAAAAAGACTTGAGACGATTCGCATTGAGTTTGAGAATGATAGAATTCGGACGAATCGACATCCCTTTTCTCTCTCCCTATTTCGCGTTGGATATCGTTCGAGTCGCTGTTATTACGATTCCCCTCTGTTAACACGTAGACAAGACAAGCTCTTTCTCCGTCGTCGTCGGAGGATCCCAATCGACATCGGGTCTGATGATAGGCTGGAAGAACGACGGCCTCCCTCGTAACATCGAGACGCGGATTAGACCATCTGCGGTTTGCAATTGGCCGCGGCTCGTCAGGCAAATAACAAACCCGTGAACAGACGCGATTATCGCGCACGTATCAAACACGTGTACGTACGTGTAACACCTCGATATTGTATCTACAAACGTTCATCTACGATTCCGATCATCGGTCGAGATTGACTCTTTATACGTTTCTACTTCCACTTCGTCTCGATCCTCCCTCCTTCTCACTTCCTCCATTATTCTAAACGCAAGAAAAAAAAAAAGAAAATAAAGAAATTCTCGTTTCACCGTTCGGCCCGACCACCATCATCCACGGTTTCGTTTCGTTCCACGCTCGAAGAGCCGAGTCACGGACGGATTTTCAATTAACCCTTCGACTTTCCTTCGACTTCCATCCCTCCCCTCCCCTTGTTTCTCGTATCGTTAAAAAACAACGAAGGAGGAGGAGAAGGAAAATTCTGATAATTCTCGCAAGGTAATACAATTTCCCCGATCGTTGTTGATCGGCCAGCACCGGTTTCGTTCATTCAACGAGCACGAGGTCGCTTCTCTTTCACTTCCCCCCCGCATGGCAGGCCGCCACGTACGCCGGCAGATACGTGATTTTCGCTCGCATCCCGGCCAAGCTGGTGTGCGTCTACGTGTACAGAGATACCTCAACCTCTAACGCCGGGGTGATCGTTATCGTGATCAACGGCACGATCGTTTAGTTGGCCGTAAATCCCGCTTCCCACGCGGGAACCACCGCGCGAATGAATATTCACCCGGGCCCTTTCGGAACAGTGGTGTGCCGCGACCTACAGAGAGAGAGCGGGGGAGGGGATTCGCCGACCTACACTCGAGGAACGTGCCGCGTCGCAGGTTTAACACGCGAGCTACGAATACGTAACATCCGTTTTACCTGCGACCTACCCCCCTCCTATCCCTCCTCCGTGTGTAACGCGTACATGTGTCGATAGCCTCCGCCCACCCACGCCACCTCTCGTAACGTAAATTACAGCGCGCGAGAGGAAAGGAAGATCGCGAACGTGTACGATTGCGTAATCGTTGAAACAAAATTTCCCGAAGAACGATGATTGCAGAATTAACGAGATTTTTGTTTTACTTTTGGTAAAGTATTTAATCAGATTCTCTTTAAATTTCATCGTCGTATCCTCAAAATTAACGAAATTTCGGCTAATGAATTCTTATTAGGTGTATTAAATATGATTCTTATGTATATTTTTCATGTAGTATGAAAGAGTATTCGAATTATCGGTGTTTGAAAGACGAAGGGATTAAAGTTTGAAACTTACAACTCTTAAAATTACTTTAATCGGTTATTATCTCCATCCTTCGTTCCAATCGATTCGTGGAAGAATTCCGTATTTCCAAGAAAAATATTGAACGTTCATTAATAATGAAATACTACTAAATAATTACTACCAATGAAAAACAGATTTACAACCTGTTGATCGAAGAAAGCTAAAAGTTCCTTTACTAATCTTACATTATGGACAAGCTATTAATACTCGCGCCAAAAAAGGAACGGATTCTTCTTACTGTTTTCATACTATGGGCGAAGAAATAAAAAAGAAAAGGAAGAAATTATAAAATAACCGACTTAATTTTAATCCTTCCACACAGAGTGTCGGAAAAAGCATCGATGCGGCATCGATGTCCCATAAATCCTGTACGTGCGCGCGTATGCGAGACGCAAATAGAATGCGAAACGAGACGACATGCAAGTATTCTCGATTCGTCGGAATCACTTCACAACGCGGCGCGGGAACGTGGCGCGTTATTTACGATCGAGCCTGGTTTAAGTGACGAAACGTCGTCGAAAGGGGGATCGGATGACGCTAATTGATTCCGATCGATACCGCGGTTTCCCGTGGTTGACGTGGGGGCCAGGGAAGGGCGGATAGGAGCGCGTTACCTGGCCAGAAAAGCTTCCTGGTTTCGCGACTGCACGACGCCGGTATACGTGCGCGCCGATCCAGTTACTCAATTGCTGCTGCGGTTGCGAAACAAATGGAGGGATTATTGTTTTACTATTCTTAGCCTCGGAGCTCTCGAACGAGGGCTCTGGTTACGGGAGAATATATAGAGTTCAGTGCACTTCTCCCGCAGTGTTTTGCCGGAACGGAGAACGACACGTTTCGTAGATGGAGTCTCAAAGGGGAAGAAAAGCGTGGTGGCAAATCGGACAATGGATCTCGCCATGCACTGGCGCCAGTCCCCTCTTCCTTCAACTTCCGCAAATTAATCTATCTACCGGCCAATTACTACCAGGTGATAAATTGTAAGGAGATCGTTTTTCTTTCGGAGGGAGAAATTATTCCTTGGAAGACTTGCGCTCTCATTTCTCTCGTTCCGCCTCGATGGAAGGATTATCAATTAACCGTAATTAATGCGCGATTTGAGACATCCCTGACATTCATCCCTGCCTCCCTTCGTCGTAACACACAGGAGAGGAACTGTTGTTAATTAACTATCCATAACATAAGTTTGCCGCTTTCTCGTGTCGCGCGTTACCTTCGAGGAATTCCTCTTCTTTTTTCTTTTTCTTTTTTTTTTTTTTTTTTTGCAACAGAAACGCGAATGGAAAGCGTGAAATTTATATCTAGGAAGCTTTCTCGGCCTTCTCTCTATTTTATCGTTACCCTCGCGCATAGAGCTGTTGCTCGCCGTGAGATACTGCTCGGCCGGATACCTGCATAAAGATGAAATCTTACTTTCTCTGATCTATGCGCGCTTCGCGTCCAACCGTACCCGTTCCCCGGCCTGAATTATAGATATTTGCTTGAATTATCGCGTTAATATCTTTGGCGGATCAAAGGTTGAAATATCGGGGAGGGGACCGCGACAATTGCGAAAGTTTCTCGTTGTATCAACGAGGAAAGAAGGGGAGGGGATCTGTTCTTTCCGTTATTCGAGCCGCGTGGTGGCAACGTGGCGCCGCCACGTATCGAGAAATTTAATAAAAAGCAGTATTTTCCCGGAAATAGGTCGAGAGAGGATACGATCGCGACTCGAATACCACGCGAAAATCTCTCTCTCTCTCTCTCTCTCTCTCTCTCTCTCTCTCTCTCTCTCTCTCTCTTCTCGAGGTTTCTTACATGGGGAGGATCCGTGGGAACCCGTTCGAACAGAATCGTAAATTTCCTCGGCCAGTTATCCACATATCCGCATCCACATATTCCACTTCCTGCCCTAAAACGTCGCCCTTCCCCATTCTCCCCCTTCTTCCTCGATCGGAATCGCGAAATATACCTTGTGTACACCGCTCGTACATAAGTCGATGCATTATACTCGAGGAGAAAACTCGGCTCGTGACTCGATATATTAAAAGACTTGAACACAGACGGTGATGTATATATATATATATATGTATAAAATATCGAAGGAAGAACTGTCCATTACGAAATTATTATCGACCACAGGTGTTCAATGTTTCCACGAGATAATTCAACATCCGCGCCGTTCGTCCGATAACATCTATCATCGTGGATTAGATACTCGTTGCTCACTTGGTCGAGTGATGCAAGAGGCCAACCAGCGAAACTCTACCTCGTCGAGGAGAAGAGAAGAGAGCATTAGAAGGAGAGATGATTTTCGAGCATTTGCATCGAGGATTCAAGCGGGATAATTCAGGTGCTAACGACTATTTACGAGATGGCCGATCGTTGGCGAGATGTCTGGTACATACAGAATGCGGCGACGAATGCGAGGGGTTGCCCATAAAACCCCAACTATCCGATTATGGTTGCGCCGTGCACGCCGCCCGGTTAGGTCGCGTCTCATTCTTTTTTACCGTCTTTCATCTTTCACGGCTCCTGAGCCCGTGGCAAGAGAGAACTTGCCCCGTTCTATACTCGCTCGCCTTCCTCCGCTCTTTAGTTACGGGGATCACGTCCGCTCCGTTCCCAGTATTCGATAGAGACGGTTACGTACGGCGGAAGAAACAGTGTTCCATCTCGAATGGAAGAGAGAATGGGGAGGAGATCGATCGATTTGGTTCGTTGCAATTGTTTCGAATATAAGAGCTTCGTTGAATTATTACGCGACAATTAATTAATCCTCGCGTTATCCAAGCAATCCAAAATTTCGATGGCGGCCGAATGAATTCCAGAAGGGGAGGAGATCCTCGGCTACCGATCCGGCGATCTTCCTGTGTGGCGCGGTTATCTGGCGGACTGAATTCTCGTTTCATCGAGTTTTTCGCCGCGCCTCTTCGTTCCTCGAGAGCCCTTTCGCCAGATCAGCGGATTATCAGAGAACGAGAACGAACATGTTCGTTCGAGGAGGAATTTAAAATTCGATAGGAATCGATGGATCCGCTCGAGGCCTATGGGAGAAGAGCCGTTTCCCCGGCTTTCACGCGTCTTTTAATAATACTGGTGGTGTACATATAGGGAATATATGGGTGGTTCTGAGCGGACAATTAATTTTAAACGAAGAAGCGTAGCGCTCGAATAGATAGGTGGTTCTCGTAGGAGAAGTTGTAAACTTCTCGGGTAAGAGATCCTGTTATACGTCCATGTTACTTAACGGAAAAGTATATTAATTGACAAGGGAAGAATGAAAGGGTTCGTCGTGGTCGTGCACCATGGCGGAAGGCTTAGAGTTGGGCACAAAAGACTTATCGACTTTCCATCCAATCAACGTCACAGGCAAAACTGTTCATTAACGTAAGACACGCCCCGCTTGTTACAGCAACAGACCGCCATGATATGACACTGGATTGAGAGGAAGAGCGTGCAACCGACGACCAACCACCATGAGGAAGTTACTGCAGTTTTTGGCGGTGATATTGTTGGGTGTCAATGCCAGGCGGACGGACGCCGACGCCCCTGTCGACGACGTTTACGGTGGTCAGCGTCGTGGCTCCCTTCACAAGTCTAATTACAACAACAACAATGGGAACAACAATTACAATTCTCAGTTGAACTCACCCTATCTCCCGTACCAGCAACCCAGGGAAAGAAAGCCGAATATAGTGCTGATCCTGACGGACGATCAGGACGTCGAACTCGGTTGGTCGCATTCTTATTTTCTTATCTCTCTCTCTCTATTGTATCTCGTCTTTTAGTTTCCTTTCCTTAAAAGAGATCTTCCACAACAATTTTTCTCAATTTAGAGTTTAGAGATCCATTTTTTAATTACTTTAAGGACGAATTTATTAGATTGAATCGAATAGATATATATCAGTTATCGGAATAAACGTTTCATTTATCGTTTTTTTCGAGCATACCTAATATCACGAAGATTGTAAATCATCGAACGATCGAGAGATACGATCTAATTAAAAGAATCGATAAAAGATATATATATATATATATATATATACCGAGGATGAAATTGAAAGTAAAAAAAGGAAAAAAAGAAATCCTCGAAAACACGAGCCTCTCTACCTCGAGAAAAGATATCCTCCTCCCTATCTATCTCTCGATCCTTCCGCCTCGAACACAGTCCTTTTTTCGAAGCTTCTCCTCTGATCGTGTGTTGCGGTTGGTCCAATCCCTCAGGTTCGCTGAACTTCATGCCACGGACCCTAAGGCGAATAAGGGACGAGGGGGCCGAGCTAAGACACGCATACGTGACCACTCCTATGTGTTGTCCAAGCAGGAGCTCGTTGCTGACCGGCCGTTACGTTCACAATCACGAGGTCTTTACGAACAACGACAACTGCAGCAGCCCCCAGTGGCAACGAGATCACGAGCCGCACTCGTTCGCCGCTTACCTGAGCAACGCTGGATATCGTACCGGTGAGTGAGCTCACGATGAACCCGTTTTTTTTTTTTTTTTCACCCCTCTCGATGACAGAAACCCCTCACGCTCCGCGCACAGACATCGGTGCGGAAAAAGAAAAAAAGAGTCACGCGACCAAAGTTCGACCGCGTACTTGCTTCTTTAGAAACGGAGAAGCTCTCGGGCCTGATACGATCTTCTATTTATTCGTGGATAATTCAAACGATTCGTATATATATATATATATATATATATATATATAGTTCCATTTATCCGAACGTTTTAAATAATCGAACGTTCTATTATCCGATTGCACCGTGCTATCTTTATTTTCCTTATTCGTTTATCTCTACTGGAGGTAGGATTTAATTGAAAATTAATGTTGGAACACGCGAATACGAGTTTCATCGAAACTATTGAAATATTTAAACTCGATTTAACACGGAGAAATTTAATTGCTTATTAAAATTGCGTCCCAAAACTTTCTCGAGGAAAGTTTTATCCTCGTTTCCCGCTCGTATGCTCGTATCGAGATATCACCGACTTAACGCACAATAATGGTAAGTCGCGAGTTGGTTGACCCGTGAGATATCCTCGGAACCATAGAGAATCTTGCTACTTTCAATTGAAACGCAACTTATACGCTAACTCGTCTCGCTCGTAATTGGAGTCAAGTACGTTCGACGCGATAAATCCTCGTTGCATAAGCAATTACCGCAAGCAATTACCGCATCGAGGCAACACGACGGCTATAACGTTGAGATTTTTTCAATTGCCGCCAATATAAGGTCGAGAACCTCTTCGCGTAAAAAGAAAAAAAAAAGAAAGAAAAACGCATAAAAATGTTACGTGACGAATGGCGATTGTAAAAATTCCTAGGGAGGGAGAGAGAGAGAAAGGAGACACGACGAGGATGTTTGCGATCTGTTTCTGACACGCGTCGCGTTTCATCGCGGGCCAACCGCGACGATTGATCTTCCGTTCGTCCGCACGAAGGAATAATTACATTCGGCGATCCAGCTTCTCGATCCTCGCCTATACTGCAACGGATACAATTTCTCTGAGATCGTTGTTGTTGTTGGCAATTGTCCGCTCTTCCCCTTCTGTATCCACAGGCGAATCTTGGCCTGTTGCTGAGAGGAGGGGGGTGAAATGCGATCAGAGAGGGAAGGTCCAGAGGCACGGCCAAAAACGGTTGCAACATGTTGGGTCGAGGTTGGGTCGTCTCGCGGAGAAGAGCAATCGTTGGTTTCGATCGATCATCGGGGAACAATAATTCAGGAACCAGAACGGGACGATTTGAATGCGGATGAATCGCGAACGGTGCATCGATTGTTTGCATTGTTCGCTTGGTTACACAGGGCATGTGCGTGGCCCTCGTCTGCATCGTCGCGATGATGCATCCCCCGATGGATCGAGAGGAGGCTCGATACAATTTGCCAACGAGTATCGAGGGGAGGAGAAAAAGGGTTGGAATGGGCGGGCTAGAGTTCTCGTCTGGGGTTTTTTTTTTTTTTTTATTCCTTTTTGAAAGGACGGCCGACGATGATCGGGAACGAGCGATTAGAGGATGAATCGAACGCATGCTCGACGTTAACCGAGCCAATCCCGCGTTCGATTCGTGGCATAAATGGATCAAGGATGGAAGGGCGTAGGAATATTATATTATATCGACACCTATGGTCGATGGTCTTTTTTTTTTCTTTTTTGACGAATTTCACCGAAGGCGGTCGAAGAATTATCCGGCTCGAATCGGCCGGTAAGGTTTCAGGGGAGTGTGGAGGCTTCTCATCAGCTGCAGCTGTTTACAGACACCTTTTTTTTTGCCGGGCTGAAAGCGATCCCGCCGCGCTTTTCGAGTGTCTCGAGATGAATCGATTTCGCGGCAACAACGGAGGATTTCGGGCCCGAAGGGAATGCGAATCGTTTCTACGGTGTTTCGCGCGCGATCGACGATATCCCCTACGAGTGGAATGCTGTTCGATTCGTCGATAGAATTTGGAGAATCCTGATCGAAGCGGAATAGCGAGATACCTTGTCTGGGATAATAATTCTTCGCTCCTCGCGTGAAAACGCGAGCGTTCGAGAGATAATTTCGTGAGGGGAGGGGAAGCGTGGTCGGCTACTCGAGATAATACGCTCGAGTTTTTAGGAAAGTGTTCCGAAACGGGGAAGAACACTCGTAATTTCCAGGGGGAGAGGACTTTTCGACCCTCGCTAACTGATTAAAGTTTTATCTTTCTAGCCTACTTTGCCGAACACTTATCTCCTGAATCTCGGGGACTTACCTTCCAATTACGGTCGGGATTACTTTACGGCACTTCGCCTTTCGCGGATTCATTATAAGAAATTACAACCGGTGGTTACCCGTTTTATAGACTTAATGCACGATTTAATAACCAATTTAAGTATCGAGGAGGGAAGGTTCGCGATAAGGGACAGCAGGCTGGGAGCAATCACCGTCGCGGTATACCTGTCCCACTGTGTTTTTCCCCGTGCGTTTATTCGTTTCGTTCGTGTTCGTTTCGTTCTGAACACAGCCGCCACGGTTCCTTCCTGCCATGCCTATTTCGAGAGACATGCAAATTACCTGAGACAGACGTTACTCTCCTACGGAGAGTCGTATACCTATCTCGTACCTTTCTAAAAATACCTTCCTTAGAAAGATACCTTCCTTAAAAAAATTAAAATCGCATAAACTCGCGTAAACGAAGATGAAATACTGAATTCCATTCGTATTCTATCAAAAAGAAAAAAGAAAAAAAAAAATATCGAGCGGTTAAATCCACAGCGGAGAACTACGACGAAGAATGCTCTCAAATGATCCGCGGAACACGCACAAAATATCTCGATAAATTAGACGAAACGTCGTATTTCGGACGCGTGCATAGATTCCGCAATACATCGTTCGAGACTCGCATTCGAATTCTTTCCACGAATCTGGTCTTCGTGGTCGTCGATCACCAGGACCAGGGAGGGAGGCGCGTAACAAAAAGGGATCACGAGAGGAGAAACAAGGCGAGGAGGAGACAAAAATCTTCTCACGATCGTGACAGTTCGACCCTTCGACGGGTAGACAAGCTCCCGTTGGAGGAATCCTTCGAGTTCCTACCTCCTTCCTCCCTTTGAACCACGATGAAAACAACGTCCGACACGATCACTCCTCTCGTCCTCCCTCCGTATTTTCCTCTTGTTCCTTCCTCCGTGTGCCTGCTGCCTTCCTCTCCACGTACGAGCCAGCAGCTTCTTCTCTCCACGTACGACCATATTCGAGAAGGTAGGACGTTGCACCCTGAAAGCGGCCAGGTTTCACAGTCTTTTAAGCCCCGTCCACATCCGCCAAGGGATTGGCGACCTTCCAAAAATTTCGCCACGCGAAATAGGTCCTCCGCTTCCGTAATTCGCCGTGGTTAAAACGAGACCCCTAGTCTCGCCTCTATTAATTATCCGCACGATTATTTTCTTCCTCTCGAGATCTCGATAAGCGATGCGCACAACGGAGACACTGTTCTCGCGAGGATAGAAACATTGCTAACTTTTGTTACATTCCGGTAGCACGGAGAAAAAGCGAGAGAATTAATCAATTTACTCGTCACACCGCACGATACCCTGCCATAGACACGGCTATCCATTTTCAATGAAACGAGTTCAAATTACACGGGCATTAAACAAACCCTCGATCCGGTTTGTTCGTCCCGCGTTTTTCTCCTTCTCTCTCTCTCTCTCTCTTCGAAAATTAAGAACCTGTTATTTTCACCGAAAGAGAATCTTTTTACTTTCCTCCACGCACAATCGTGGCGACGAAACGAGAAAAGAGAAACGAAGGAGGAGGAGGAAAAGGAGGAGGCTAAAGAGAATCCTCTCTCTCTCTCTCTCTCGCCAATAGGCCCCTAGGAATAATTACGAGCCGTGAGCCGCGACGAGCGTGCCGATCGCCGCCACCGAACACGCCACCAGAGAGAAAGAGAACTGGTTTCGTTATCGCCGTCTATTGCGCGCGTTCCGAGTGTCCCTGACCAGAATACCGAGGCTGGCGGGCCGGGCGACAAATTTTCTTCGCTATCTTCGCAAGAGGATCTTGTCACGCGCGCATACGTTAGGCCGACCTCACCTTTAGGCCGCGTTCGAGACCCCCGCGTTGTCCGACGGGCGTGAAACTAGGCCTGAATTTGCCGATGCTAATTAGATCCGAGAACTAGGCCCCTCCTCGATCGTTTCTCCGGACGAGAAAATTTGCGGCGTGCATCTTGGCGCGAGCACGTATGTATATATCTATTAAAAAAGAGATTCAACGATTGATTTTTATCAACATTCGAAATGTCATTTCGATATTTTTCGATAACTTTTTTTGGAGCTTTTGGAAATCGAGTTGAAGAAGACGCGTTAATTGTGTAATAAAAATATTAAAGAAGATATTTCATCGAAGATAGGAGAGTTGGTCAGAATTGTTTTCGAGAGTTTTGCTCTCGAATATATTCGCGCAAGGCATAAAGGTTAAGGTTGGAAGGAGCGGAGAGGCCGAGGTGCCGGTTGCGTTTTCTCCCGTGTTCGTTTCGCCGTGTTATTCGATTCTTCGAGTCTCGTAGCCTCCCTCCTCGAAGGTCGAATTTCAACGGGAGAAAGAGAGGGGGAGATTCGCGATCACGAGACCCACGCGACACGACCTTCGTCCCCCCTCCGACAATCGATTCCGCGTCTTTATTAAAGGTGTTCCGTACGAGCGCTGCATTATGCCGCGATAGGAAGTACAAATGCGCGGAGGCGTAGCCAAGGCAACGGTATTGCCTCGATTGTTCGACTTGTGGGTGCTCGGTGTCGGCGAATATAAAAACAATGCGCCGTGAACCGCTTTCGTATCGATCTCGGTGATTGAACGATAACCTGGGTGTACAGGTCCATTCTTCTAGCATTGCTTATCTACGATTTTTCGTGGATTAATATTCTTTTTCAACCAATCATTAATAATTAATACATATTACAAATCGTGGCTCAATGGCAGATCAGAATTGATTTGAAA